TTAGTTTCTTTGAAGTATCTATTTTCTGGAAAAAAAAATAAATATTATCTTTACACTCCCAATTGAACTTTTCTCTACTTCTTCTCTCTCCCCCAGCATGGTCATCACGCTCTGCTACGATGCCGTTTCACGTAATGTCGAAGGCATGGGCATCTCACCATTCATCATGTTCTCGCTGAGCGCCATTGCCGTACTACCTTCGAGTATTATCGTCATACTGCTGCAGGATCGTATCGGACGCAAAGGTATGGCGGCTGGTTCATTGCTTGTCGGCGGCTTATTCACCACCATGGCAGGCATAGCGATCGCCTATCAGCAACACAATCACAATGCGGTGCTGCTGGCGTGCCTAACGATAGCGGCACGGTTCGGTGTAGCGATCTCATACGAGTCAGGATCACAATATGCTACCGAGCTAATACCGACCTGCGTGCGTGGTCAGGGTGTGGCAGCGGTGCACGTGGCTGGATTTGCAGCATCCTTTTTGGCGCCATACATCCTATGGTTGGGTACATTCTTCAAAGCGGCGCCTTCGATAATTTTGGGTGTACTCTTCTTCACCGGCTCCTTTGTTTGCTTGCTCTTGCCCGAAACGCTGAATAGGTGAGTGCGAAAGCGAACGCGAGTGTATGTGAAATGTGAAATTCATAAATATTTGCGCTTTTATTTTACAGAACGCTGCCAAAGACCGTCGAGGAGGGTGAGGTATTCGGCAAAGGTGAACGCATGTTCGATTTCCCATGTCTTTCGCAAAAGGGCGCACAATCAGAGGAGGAGGAGGCGTACGAACGAAAGCAATCGTTAACTGTTTTCGATCGTGGCGATGATTCGGCCGATGAGAACCTCAACAGTGCGGCGTAAAAGAGTGTGTGTGTACGCAATAGGAATGTATTTGCCGTTAGCTTCCGTAGGTGTTAAGCGTAAATATTAAAAAAAAAAAAAATTTATGAATATTAACCTGCACATAAACGTCAAACACAAAATTAATATTTTTTCTTAGTAATTTAATTTCATTAGTAAACGTCATTAGTTTTTAAGTACTTATCAGTAATAATTTAGATCTTAAGTACTTAGTGACAGAAGCCTTATTTATAAGATACAATAGTTCGAAAACGCATATGAAAACTGGAATATCAAAAAAATGCTAAATTATTGAAAATATTTGCTTGAATGCAATTTTGTTTTATAAAAGTTTGTATATTAAAATATTATTTTTGCATTCATTGTAAAAACAATTAACAGTGTTTAGGGAAGCAAAGCATGCAAGTATCCAATGTAAATACATATAAATAGAAAAAATATATTCTTATACTAAAGACACATATACACCTACATATGTATATGGAAAATGATTGCTAGTGCTATTACAAATGTATAAACGCAAATCGCTATACACAAATACATACGTAGGTAAAGATAAACATAATATGTTATGAGCAAATTTCACGAGCTTTTAAATTTTTCGACAGAAACGCGTTTTTGGTCGAAAATGGTGGCACACTTATCTTAGATAATGCATTGTTCTCAGTTTTGCATAAAGAACAAGATTTCATCGCAAAATTGTATTCAAATGAAAACTTAAAAAAGTTATACTAAAAAAGTCAAAATAACAATTCGTGCTCATATACGTGCATTTAACGTATACGCCCCGTAGCACCATTCACAGTCAGAAAACACATTTACTCGCACGCCTTCACTTACAAGTTATATCATTTAAAAAAAATTTCAGAATGTGTCGTTAAAAATTGTAAAATTGGAAGTTTTGTTACGTCATTGTATGATCAATGTAATTTTTTTCAGTTGGTGGCACACTAGTTTTATTACTCTAGAGTGGTTTTGTTCTAGCAAGCAGAAGATTTTCACCATTTATTGTTGCCATTTTGAAGTTTCTTAAATTCTTAAAATAAAAAATTATAAAATAGCTGCGACAGATATTCCGCATGCTGCATTTTTTTTTAATATGGTGGCACACTCTTGAAACTTTATATATATGCTGTATTTTATGCAAAATTTCATAGCCTCTAATATGAGCATTCTATTTGAAAACTTCCCAAAGTTATTAAAAAAAAAAAATTTTGATTTTTTATAGTGACAAAAACAAATTGTAATTTCGGTACTTTTTCGTCAAATAAACGTTTAAATACCTGATTTATTTTTTATTGCACTTGTTTCTGGAACTCCAATGATTGGAATAAATGAAAGAAGAATGCTATAGCGTTTTTTTATGGCGAGAGAAGGGATCGACACTTAAAAAACAACTTGTGAGATTTGCTCATATACAAACCTTTCTACATATATGATAGTAAAAAAAAATATTAACCACCCTTAGCATTGGGCACACTTTTACTTAAGCCAGGCTTTAAGCGAGTACTGATAGCTATGCCGATTTACAAAATGATAAAAAATAAATACATACATACATACATATTTGAAATTTTTGGAAAATTTATTAAAACACGTTAAATTTCCAAACCTTAATTTAACCTAAAAAAAAAAGAAAATTGTAAAAATATACTAGGCTTGTTTGCTGGAGGAAGGTTCTAGTTAAAGAAAATAGTCTTAATAGAAAAATGTAATGCAATTTTTTTTTGGCTAAAAAATTATGACGAGCAGAAACAAAACTACTCAAAAACGCGAATATGTGATAGATTTCAGACCTTGTGTGGTAGATGTGGTATGTGGGTGCTCAAAAAAGTCGTAGATCTAACACAATGTGGTACTGCTTGGAATCTACGGTTGCCAGTCACCAAAGAGAGTTGAAGTTATTAGGACTATAAGAGTGAGGCATAACCACCTGTCGTGAAAGAGCGAAGTACACAATATGTTTGCAACTCCTTCCAAAGACTTTGAAATTGGAGGATGTAGCATTCAGGATAGCTCATTACTCGTCTCCCATGGGGTAAAGGTTCATTGGAACATTTTTCCGCCGTCATATCTGTAGGTTTATTTTTAAGTTATTTACATATTTGGGCGCACAGTGTGTCGTGTAGAACAAGATATATAACTTGCAAACATAAGCGACAGAAATACTCTCCCGGCGAAGCTGAGAACATAACATTAGTGCCCAAATTCAATGTTCTTCCAAAGGCTTTGAAATAGCAGGATATACCAGTCAGCATTACTCATTATTCGTCTCGCACAAGGGCATACGATCCTGTAGAGCCTTGAGTAAAAAGTGTCGTTAATTTGGTAGAAATTTTGATCACATTTTGTCGTATTTCATACAAAGTGGCTGCCAAATTGTGGACAAATGACGCTTACGACAAAATTTGGCTAAAGAAAATCCTTCATAAACTCGTAACTAATTAACAATAAACGTTAACTTTTCGTTTCGTTAACTAGTAACATTTTCAGAGACTTTGGATATATCTATCTTCGCGTTTTTGAGAAATTGCATTCCAAACTTCAATCGCGATTCCACCACAACCTGCCGAAATTAACATACGACATTTTTTTACCCAAGCGACGATATCTAAATAACTTAAAAACTAAAACGTTGCATACATTTGTGAGTTTTCTGATTTACACGGCACCATTGCGCGCGCAACGATTACATGTGTATAGCTAAAAGTGATAATGATATTTTTTAAATTATTATCTAATTAAAAAAAAAATTCTTTTTACTTGTAGCTATTAAGGCACATGATACATGCTGGGCTTTGTTATTCTCTACTAATCTAGTCAAATAAAAAACATTTACTGGAAAATTTCACGAATTTTTATACTCACATCTGAGGTAACACTCTGATATCCCATTTCATATTCATAGATCCACTTTCGGCATTGACCCACTTCAGCAACAATTGGCTTGCCATCTATTACATCATCGAGCAGAGTGCAGTGAGGACTATTTGTTTGAGCGTAGACAGCGCGAATTTCAGCAAAACTGACATTGGCTAATTTTTCATGGTAGCACCTGAAAAATTTTTATTTTGTAAGATAGTTTTCGAGGTTAGGTTAGTTTGTATGCTTCTTTTTATTATTTAGACATCTGTGTTAAAGGTTAAAAAAAAAAGGAAAAGCAGTTGTCCAAATATTGGGCGGTGTTGTTTTTATCTGTGTTTAGTTAAGTATGTAATTGAAAATATATATGGTGAGGTTTCGTTGTTCGTAGGAAAAGTAATGCCGTATAAGAGATAAAAGTAGCGGAAAATAGCACCACCCTAATATACACATGTTCTTACTTTGTATTTAGTTACTAAAAAATTGTAACAGGAGAGGGTTTTCAAAGCCAGAGCTGCTTGTTTTTGAAGAGTAAGAATGCACTTCGCCTCCCAAATCTACGCAAAACTCAATCAAAACGAAAACAAAAAAAAATTTAATAAATATTTTAACTGACTGTCAGATAATCACCTCTGTTTATTGTTTGGGTCTGCGATGTATGTACGTTTTTTCTTTTGTTTTGAAAAATTATAAAAATTAAATTACCATGCTCTAAAGTCTATTATTGGCCAAAAAAAAAGTTCATTAAAAGATTGGGGTAATGTACATACATAATTGAATTATTGAGTAATCAAAGTCAATTTTGATAAGCCTATGTTCGAAAATATGTATTTATGCACATTAGGGTGGTCCTTAAAAAGGCTAAAAATATTAAGTTTTCTCCCCCTATGATTTTTCTAAACGGGCAAAAAAGAATACAAGTATTTTTTTATAAAAAAAAATACATTTAGAACTGCCTCACAGCCCATGAAATTTTCGATGTATTTTATTTAAGAAAAACACTTTTTATTATAAATGGTAAACAAAAAAGTATGGGTGTTCTCTTTTTCCATTTAGAAAAATTCTAGGGGGTGAGAGCTTAACAGTTTATATTTTATTTATAGAAAAAAAAAATATCAAAATTCGTTTGTTAATCATTCTATGTCTTTTTGAAGGAAATTTTAATTTATGTACGTACTTAAAATATATTTCATTTAAATTTTCGAAACATATACATATATTTTTAAATTCATTTTCAAACAATGAAAGTCTAACTTTAATAAACAAAAGTTTTAATTGATAAAAAGATATACAATTTAATGAAGATCAATTGAACATATACGAATTGAAGACTGATAAAAAAATTTCGAAACAAAAAGTTCTAATTCAAAAAAGGGTTACAGTTAAATTACAGAAATTAACAACTTCAAATTGCAGTAATAATATTTTTTTTTCTGAAATAAATTTTTAAAGTAAATTCTTAAAGTTATCCCTCTTTTGTTGGAAAATAAATTTGACTTCGAATCATTATTTTTTTAATTTTAAACTTTACGTTTCGAATTTAAAAAAAAAAAATTTTAAATAAATTTCCAAAGTAAAACTTTCATTACTTGAAGATAAAACCTATTTAAATGTTTTTTCACTTGAATATGTTTGTTTCAAAAATGTATTTTGTTTTTTAAATTGTAAAATAATTTTTTTTTTGCAAATTATAATTATTAAAGTTATCCTTAATTGTTTAAAAATTAATTTCAATTGAAAGGCGCTAAATATTTTTAAATTAAATTTAAAATGTTTTTTGATTTAAAACTTTTTCTGTCGATTTTTTTTTCGCTAAAATAAATTACCAAAGTTAAACTTGCATTTTTGGAAGATAAACTGCTACTGGAAATATTTGACACTTAATATTTGAAAGCTAAATATGTTTTACTTTTTTAATTTGAATATATTTAAATTTTATGATAAATTTTTTAATTTTGTTTAAAAAGGTTTTTTATTTATAACACATTTTTTTACGTAAATTAATAATAATGAGAATAAATTTCACTTTCAAGATGTTAAATTCTCATTATTATTTTTTTATTTAAAACTTTTTGTTTCGATATTTTTTGTTTCTTAAATTAATTTCCTGAGCAAATTATCAAAGGTATACTTCATCCCTTTACTCATTTTAATATTTTCCTATTGTAGAGCTCTTAGCTAGACCGAATTTCGAATACGATTTGTTAAATTAAAATCTTTTTTAATTTATATTTTTTCGCGTTTGACTTTATTTAACATTTTTAAGTTAAAAAAATAGCAAAATTTCTTTTTGTATTTTTTTTATCTTAACCCTGTCTTTACTTAGTTCTTTCACTAATTTTTGCAAAGCCATTTTTCTAGCCACATGCCTCCGTTTTTGTTTCAAAACCCTTCCACCAAATCTTCTTTATCTAATTCATCACACTGCTTTCAACTCACCAATGATCCGGTGTAAAACTGATTATTGTTTGTGCAAAATAGTGCATCGATGAGAGTATATTGGTAAAACCAAATAATAACATTATAAGGAATTGAAAGCGGCCGAAGTTGCCACACTTCTCCAAAACGGCATCAAAATCCATCGGTGGTGTGCCCATTTTGCTATGTGGATTTGTTTTTTTCACTGCCACAGCACTGCTATAGAATTTTGAAAATAATAGATATCCAATTATTCCTGC